ATCCAGGCTGAAACCAGTGTGGCTCAGTGGATAGAGCGTCGGCCTGCGGACTGAAAGGTCCCGGGTTCGATTCCGGTCAGGGGCATGTGCCTTGGTTGCGGGCACATCCCCAGTGCCCGGGGGAGGGGGGGGGGTGCAAGAGGCAGCTGGTGGATGTTTCTCTCTCATCGATGTTTCTAGCTCTCTATCCCTCTCTCTTCCTCTCTGTGAAAAATCAATAAAATATAGCCAAAAACCGGTTTAGCTCAGTGGATAGAGCGTCTGCTTGCGGACTGAAAGGTCCCGGGTTCGATTCCGGTCAAGGGCATGTACATTGGTTGCGGGCAAATCCCCGGTGGGGGGTGTGCAGGAGGCAGCTGGTCGATGATATTCTCTCATTGATGTTTCTAGCTCTCTATCCCTCTCCCTTCCTCTCTGTAAAAAATCAATAAAATATATTTTTTTTAAAAAATCAATAAAATATATTTTATTGAAGAAGAGGGGACATCCAGGATCTTCCTTCACCGGCCCAGGGCCCACTCCGGTGGCTGGGCTCAGGTCTTCCCCTCAGCAACCTCGCTGCACAGCAGCCAGCGCTTCCTGTCTAAAGCCACTCAGGGCCCGTCGGGAAGCCAGGGGGCTCCCGTCCTCCCAGGGGCGCAGATGGCGCCTCTCATAAAGGCCGTCCCCCCGCAGACGTGGCCACGTGGAATCCACGGACCCCGGGCCGGCACCTCACCGCGAAGGGCGTCCCTGCTCTCCTCCCGCTCTTGCAAACGGGGCGGGACTCATCTCCATGCCATCCAGCTGGGCGACTCCAGCCCTGGCGGCTCCTGGGCACTGGAAACGGGCCCGTCCGAACTGAGACGTGCTGGGAGTGTCACACACACACACACAGGATTTGGAAGACGTGGAGGAGGAGGAGGAGGAGGAGGAGGAGGAGGAGGAGGAGGAGGAGGAGGAGGAGGAGGAGGAGGTGGAGGTGGAGGAGGAGGAGGTGGAGGTGGAGGAGGAGGAGGTGGAAGAGGAGGAGGAGGAGGAGGAGGAGAAGGAGGTGGAGGTGGAGGTGGAGGTGGAGGTGGAGGTGGAAGTAGAGGAGGAAGAGGAGGAGATGGAGGAGGAGGTGGTGGAGGAGGAGGAGGAGGTGAAGGAGGAAGAGTGGAGGAGGAGGAGGAGGAGATGGAGGAGGAGGTGGTGGAGGAGGAGGAGGAGGTGAAGGAGGAAGAGTGGAGGAGGAGGAGGAGGAGATGGAGGTGGAGGAGGAGGTGGAGGAGGAGGAGGAGATGGAGGAGAAGGAAGAGGTGGAGGAGGAGGTGGAGGAGGAGGAGGAGGTGGAAGAGGAGGTGGAGGAAGAGGAGGTGGAGGAGGAGGTGGAGGAGGAGGTGGAGGAGAAGGAAGAGGTGGAGGTGGAGGAAGTGGAGATGGAGGAGGAGGTGGAGGTGGAGGAGGAGGAGGAGGAGGAGGAGGAGGAGGAGGAGGAGATGGAGGTGGAGGAGGAGGTGGAGGAGGAGGAGGAGGAGGAGGAGGTGGAGGTGGAGGAGGAGGAGGAGGAGGAGGAGGAGGAGGAGGAGGAGATGGAGGTGGAGGAGGAGGTGGGAGGAGGAGGAATGGAAGGGGAGGAGGTGGAGGTGGAGGGAGGTGGAGGAGAGATGGAGGAGAAGGAAGAGGTGGAGGAGGAGGTGGAGGAGGAGGAGGAGGAGGGAGGTGGAGGAAGAGGAGGTGGCGAGGAGGGAGGTGGAGGAGAAGAGGACGAGTGGAGATGGAGGCGGTTGGAGAGGGAGGAGGGGTGGAGGAGAGGAGGAGGAGGAGGAGGAGGAGGAGATGGAGGAGGAGGTGGAGGAGAAGGAAGAGGTGGAGGAGGAGGAGGAGATGGAGGTGGAGGAGGAGGTGGAGGAGGAGGAGGAAGAGGTGGAGGTGGAGGTGGAGGTGGAGGAGGAGATGGAGGAGAAGGAAGAGGTGGAGGAGGAGGTGGAGGAGGAGGAGGAGGTGGAGGAGGAGGTGGAGGAGAAGGTGGAGGAGGAGGAGGAAGAGGTTTAAGGTCAGGTACAGGTGGAGGTAGTTGCCAGGGTTGGGGACAAGGCTGGGGAGGGTGGAGGGAAGTGGGGGTGGCAGGAAAAAAGGGTTACAAGGGATCCTGGTGATGAAAGTGTCCTCTACCTGCACGGATTCCGTGTCAGCATCCTGGCCATGATTTCACCACTTGGTTTTGTAAGACGCTGGTACTGCAGGAAGTGGTCAAGGGCAGTGGCCGTCATCTGCGGCTCACGGTCTGCCGCTCTGTGGACCACTGGAAGGGGAACAGACCCCTCGGTCCTGACTGATAACTCCACGGAGTCTACACTGTGTCCAAATGAAACGTTTCAGGGGTCTTCAAACTACAGCCCGCGGGCCACATGCGGCCCGCAGAGGAGTCTGATCCGGCCCGCCAGGTTTTTTGGGCAGTGAGCGCAGCCGAGGTGTTACAGTAGGAATTAGTAGTTCATATAGTCCGGCCCTCCAGCTCTCTGAGGGACCGTGATCTGGCCCCCACTTTAAAAAGTTTGAGGACCCCTGTAGGAAATGAGCAGTAGTTTACAAAATAAAAAGACAATTCCTCTGCGCCCACATGGCCCGGAGGATCCCCATCGGTGACTGCCCCCGCTCTGCCTTCCTCGGGAGGGGTTCCTCCATAACCACAAACCACCTTTTTCCTTAAAAACATGTTTTAAAGCCCATTTAAGCAACATTTTAACTTTTTTTTTTCTTCTTGAAATCAACTCACTTTCAGAAGTTTAGTAGGTCCATGTAGGTTTTTTTTTTTAATATATTTTTTATTGATTTTTTTCAGAGAGGAGGAGAGAGGGATAGCTAGAAACGTCGATGAGAGAGAAACATCGACCAGCTGCCTCTTGTACACCCCCTACCGAGGATGTGCCCGCAACCAATATGCATGCCCTTGACAGGAATCGAACCCGGGACCCTTTAGTCCGCAGACCGACGCTCTACCACTGAGCCAAACCAGTTTCGGCCCATGTAGGTTTTTTTTAAAATATATTTTTATTAATATCAGCGAGGAAGGGAGAGGGAGAGGGAGAGAAACAACGATGAGAGAGAATCATTGATCAGCTGCCTCCTGCATGGGATTGGGCCCACAATCCAGGCACATGTCTTTGACTGGAATCAAACCCAGGACCCGTCAGTCCACAGGCCAACGCTCTATCCACTGAGCCAAACCAGCTAGGGCTTTAATATGTTTTTATTGACTTCAGAGAGAGGAAGGGATAGGGAGAGAGAGATAGAAACATTTGTGATGAAAGAGAATCATTGATTGGCTGCCTCCTGCACGCCCCACACTGGAGATCAAGCACACAACCCGGGCATGCGCCCTTGACCGGGAATTGAACCGTGACCTCCTGGTTCATAGGTCGATGCTCAGCCACTGAGCCTGCTGGCCAGGCATAGGCCGGTGTAATTTGCTTTGTCCTAAACAAGCATAACGTTACATATTTTCTCCAACTCCCCATACGATAAGTACATAAGCATTTTTGAAAGATTGGAATGTTTCCATGCCTCTGTATTCTATGGTTTTACTGTGTTTTCTTTCTTTTAAAGAAATTTTTTAAATATATTTTATTGATTTTTCACAGAGAGGAAGAGAGAGGGATAGAGAGTTAGAAATATCGATGAAAGGGAATCATCGATCAGCTGCCTCTTACACACCCCCTATTGGGGATGCATCCGCAACCAAGGTACATGCCCTTGACCGGAATCGAACCTGGGACCTTTCAGTCCACAGGCCGAGGCTCTATCCACTGAGCTAAACCGGTCCTGGCTGTGTTTTCTTTCTTTTAATAAATACATTTTTTAATTGATTTCAGAGGAAGGAAGGGAGAGAGAGAAACAGAGATCGGTTGCCTCCCTTACGTGCCCAGACCGGGGATCAAACCCACAACCTGGGTATGTGCCCTAAGCAGGAATCGAACCCGCCGCCACCTCTTGGCATAGGAGACACCGCTCCCATCCACTGAGCCACCTGGCCTGGGCTTTACTGTGTTTTCTTTGCACCCTCTCTCCCGGTGCAAACATGTTGCCGTCTGGGGGCACTCCTGCTATCTACACTAATAAAAGAGTAAGAGGCAAATTGACCGCACTTTCACGACGCCCACCAGCCAATCAGGAATGAGTATGCAAATGAACCCAACAAATATGGCGGGTTAATCTGCATACACATGTGCTGAGTGGACATGTATATGCGGATTAACTCGCCATATTTGTTGGGGGTGGGGAAGGACACTTGTGTTTCACACCGCTCCCAGCCGCTCCAGGCCTCTGGGCAGCATGGGAAGGCGGGAAGGCGACTCCAGCCAGAGCGAAGGCGGTGCAGGCAGCCAGGGGAAGGGAGGCCCTTTCTTACACAAATCTTCATGCACTGGGCCTCTACCGTGTTTCCCCGAAAATAAGACATCCTCCGAAAATAAGACCTAGCGCATGGAAAGGTAAGACATCCCCTGAAAATAAGGCCTAACGCAACTTTGGGAGAAAAAATTAATATAAGACACTGTCTTATTTTCAGGGAAACAGGGTAATTAATATATATATATTTTTTAATGTTCTCTGACAATCTCTGTATTTTACATAATGTATTTAGACAATTGATGTTTAAAATAATTATTGATATAACTAGAGTAATATCAACCGTATTTGTTATTTTCTGTTTGTTGAAATTATTTTTTGTTTCTATTTAGTGTTCCACTTTTTTCTGCTTTTTCTTTTTTAAATCAATCTTTATTGTTCATATTATTACAAAAGTTCCTCATTTTTTCCCCCTTCACCAGGTTCCCACCCCACCCTCTCTGCCCTTTCCCCAGCCCCCATTGTCCTCATCCATAGGTGCACAGTTTATGTTCATTAAATATATTTTTATTGATGTCAGAGAGGAAGGGAAAGGGAGAGAGAGAGATAGAAACATCAATGATAAGAGAATCGTCGACTGGCTGCCTCCCGCACACCCTGTGCCGAGGATCAAACCCGCAACCCGGGCAGGTGCCCTGACCGCGAATCGAACCTGGGACCCCTCCGTCCGCAGGCTGACGCGCTGTCCACTGAGCCACGCTGACCAGGGCAACTCCTGGCATATCGACGTCTGTTTCGCTATGTCCTTAGGCGAAGAGAAAGGTTGCGTGGCCCCAGCAGGCAGGCTCTGTTGGTCTCGGAAACGAGGAAGGACCGGCGGAGAGCGCCCCGAAACGCGCCCCATCCCTCCAGCTCGCCCAGGGCTGAGCTGAAGGAAGCGGGAGAGGACGGAGCCGAAGGCAGGCAGAGGGGCGGGCGGGCGGGCGGGTCGGCTCTCCTACACTGTGGCCTGGCTCTTCTGGTCCACCGTGGAGAGCGTGAAGGACTTGGACGTGAAGGACTTGGACCCCCTGGCCAGGGACTCCTCGGTCAGCACGTTGCGCAGCCGGGCAGGGAGGGACTTGAGGACGCGGGCCTGGAAGCCCTGGGCGGCCACCACGTAGATGACGGGGTTGATGCAGCTGTTGACGTAGGCGATGGAGACGCACAGGGCGTCGAAGCGGGACACGGCCTTGTAGTGGCGGTGGGACTCGGGCAGGAAGACCAGCACCATCCCGGACACCTGGTAGGGCAGCCAGAGCAGGAAGAAGCTGGCCACCACGGCGGCCACCACCTTGAGCGTCTTGGTGGAGCGCGTGGCGCTGCGGCTCCAGGTCCGCAGCAGGAGGAAGGTGTAGCAGACGGAGAGGGTGGCCAGCGGGCACAGGAAGCCCACCACCAGCCGCACGGTGGCCACGGCCCTCTCCTTGCGGACTCCGGCGGCGTCGCGGCCGTAGCTGAGGCCGCACTCCATCTTGTCGGGGTAGTGCTGCACGTTCACCTTCCGGTACACGAAGGAGGGGATGGTGAGCAGCAGGGCCAGGCCCCAGGCCACGGCGCAGGCCACCCAGGCCAGCCGGGCCCCGCGGTAGTTCTGGCACCAGATGGGGTTGAACACCAGCAGGAAGCGGTCGGCGCTGATGGCGGCCAGCAGCAGGATGCTGGCGAACAGGTTGAGCAGGAGGAGCGAGGGGAGCACCCGGCAGGCAGCCTCCCCGAAGGACCAGTGGTTGTGGTGCAGGATGTTCACGAACAGGATGGGCAGCGACAGGCAGGACAGCAGGTCCGCCGCGGCCAGGTTGAGGAACCAGATGGCGTTGATGGCGCGCCGGGCCTCGCACCCCGTCACCCACACCACCATGAGGTTGCCGGGCACCCCCACCAGGAAGACCACCGTGAAGATCGCCAGGGACAGCACGTCCGGGCCGCCCAGCCTTGGCGGGGTGTAGGAGGAGTTGTCCACGGGGACACTAGGGTCCATGGTGGAGTTCTCATAATCGGGATAGTCATAGTTGTCAATTCCCACGAGGTCCTGGGTGGGAAGCAGAGAGGCAGGGAGAAAGTGAGTCTGCAGACGGGTGCCAGGGGGGGTCCATCAGAGCCACGTGGCTTGGAGCCCAACACCCCAGGTTTCTCCAGGAAATGGGGGGCGGGGGGAAACCCTGCTAAGAATCAGCAGGGGTGTCACATCACTGATTAAAATATTAGAGGCTCGCCGAAAACCGGTTTGGCTCAGGGGATAGAGCGCCGGCCTGCCGACGGAAAGGTCCCGGGTTCGATTCCAGTCAAGGGCATGTACCTTGGTTGTGGGCACATCCCCAGTAGAGGGGTGTGCGAGAGGCAGCTGATGGATGATTCTCTCTCATCGATGTTTCTAACTCTCTATCCCTCTCTCTTCCTCTCTGTAAAAAAAAAAGTCAATAAAATATATTAAAAAAAACAAAACACTAGAGGCTCGATGCACGAAGTTCGTGCAAGAGTAGGCCTTCCTTCCCTGGCTTTGCTCCTGGCCACCCAGGAGCCTGCAAGCCCTCGCTCCCAGCTGGAGCACCGCTCCTGTAGCTCCCTCCACCCCCCCTCCCCTTCATAGCAGGCATCCCGCTCTGTGCCTGTGTATGCAAATTAACCCGCCATCTTTGTTGGGTTGATTTGCATACTCACTCCTGGTTGGGCTGTGTGCGTTGCAGAGGTACGGTCAATTTACATGTTTGTCTATGATTAGGTGATATGGAAAATTCTTTTCTGCCAATTGGACTCACGGGCCCCCCCACACCCCCCACACCCCCATCCCACCCTCCACACCCCCACCCCAACCCCCAACCCCCCACCCCACCCCCACCGCCACCTCCCCATGAAGTCCCTGGACGTCCCCATGATCCAGCAATCAAAGGATGAGTTCCGAGACTTGCTGTGAGCTGCGGTCCCCACCCATGACACGCTGCTTGTTCGACATGCTTAACAGCACCCACACACTGCGACACTGTGACTGGGTTACCCCTCAGCACCACATCGCCCGCTTCTGCTGCCTGCCACCCACAGGGCAGCTCTCTGTTCTGCCTGGGAGTGGCACCCTGGAGCAGGCAGCGGTTCCCCGGGGCCCAGCGTATTCAGGCACAGCCTTTAAGGCACGCGGGGGGGGGGGGGGGGGGGGGGGGCAGGCAGGGAAAGATGGAGTCGCCAAGACACATAATGCCATAAAGCAATATTTTAAAGAATCAAAAACACCTCTTCACCTAGATGCACGTACCCCTATGTTCACATACAATAGCCACAACGTGGAAAGAACACAAGTGTTACCCTAGCTGGTTTGGCTCAATGGATAGAGCGTCGGCCTGCGGACTGAAAGGTCCTGAGTTCGATTCCGGTCAAGGGCATGTGCCTTGGTTGCGGGCACATCCCAAGTAGGGGCTGTGCAGGAGGCAGCTGATGGACGTTTCTCCCTCATCAATGTTTCTAACTCTCTATCCCTCTCCGTTCCTTCCTCTCCTGGAAAAACTGATAAAATATATATATTTTTTTAAAAGATGAAATATCGCCATGTACTATGCCACGTATGGATCTTGAGAGTATCGTGCTAAGTGAAATAGGTCAGACGGAAAAGGACAATTTCACTCATATGTGGGATATAAAGCAGCATAGCATAGAGAATACAGTCAATAATATTGTAATAGCTCTTCAGTGGTCGGCAAATTCATTAGTCAGCAGAGCCAAATATCAACAGTACAACGATTAACATTTCTTTTGAGAGCCAAAATTTTTTAACTTAAACTTCTTCTAACGCCACTTCTTCAAAATAGACTCGCCCAGGCAGTGGTATTTTGTGGAAGAGCCACACTCAAGGGGTCAAAGAGCCGCATGTGGCTCGAGAGCCGCAGCTTGCCAACCACGGCCCTAGCCCGTTTGGCTCAATGGATAGAGCATTGGCCTGCAGATCAAAGGGTCCCAGGTTCGACTGAGGTCAAGGGCACATTCCTTGGTTGCAAGCTCCTCCCCCCGCCCAGTCCTGGCCAGGGTTCATGCAGGAGGCAACCAATTGATGTGTTTCTCTCACATGGATGCTTCTCTCTGTCTTTCCCTCTCTCTTCAACTCTTCCAAAAAATCAATGGGAAAATATCCTTGGGCGAGGATTAACAAACAAAAAAATTAATAATAATTTTTAAAAAGAACAAAGATTATGGTCTCTAATTACCATCTGCCATTCAAACGAGCCAGGACTCCTTGGAGAAGGGTTGATTCCTGTTCTGGGACAGGAAATAGGTAAGTTGACCTTGGAACCTCTCAGAAAGTAAGGACATTTTTAATGGGGAAATGTCAAAGAGAAATAAAAGACAGTCTGAAAAGGCTTCCACTCGTCAAAGACGGGACAATTTGAGTACCTGATTATAAGAATTATGAAGGAATGAAACACATCCTATATAATAAAAGCCTAATATATTTCCGACCGTTCGACCATTTGACCAGTCGCTATGACGTGCACTGACCATCAGGGGGCAGATGCTCTGACTGGTAAGTTAGCTTGCTGCTGGGGTCCAGCCAATCGGGACTGGGTGAGACTGCCAGACAGGCCCTGGAGCCCTCCCCGGCCCCAATCGTGCACCATGGGGTCCCTGGACCTGGCCTGCAGCGCACTGGCTCTGGAGCCGTTATGGAGGCAGGAGGGTAGAGTAAGAGCCAAGCTGGGAAATTGGCTCTGAATTCTTTTTAGTTTGCTAATCCTCACCTGAGGATATTTCCTCGTTGGCTTTTAGAGAGCGTGGAAGGGAGGAGGAGAGACAGAGAGAGAGAGAGAGAGAGAGAGAGAGAGAGAGAGAGAGAGAGAGAGAGAGAGAGAGAGAGAAACATCGATGTGAGAGAGACACACCCAGGTGGGTTGCCTCTCACACACGCTCTGAACAGCACTGGGGATAGAGCCTGCAGCGGCGGCAGCCGGAATCGAACCCGGGATCCTTCCGTCCGCGGGCCTACAATCTATCCGCCGAGCCAAACCAGCCAGGGCGGGAAGGGGTTCTTTAGAGAAGAATCCTGCGTAATAAAGATGTAATGTGCCGATGGCCGTGACACCACACCGAGAAGCACCACCACCGGATGGTGGGGCAGCAGGAGGGTGGGGCAGCGAGCAACAGGACGGGGGAAGAGCTGGGGGCAGTGTCAAGAGAGGAACGGCGCTGAGGCGGCAGCTGGGCTGGGGGTCCCCGGAGGGGTCCCCTGGTCGCCAACCTGCACCCCAGGGCACCCGACCCCCGGCAGGAAGATCCGGGCAGGGAACGGGTGACCAGACTCATTGCCGAGCTCCTACTACCCTGTTTTCCCCGAAAATAAGACAGCGTCTTATATTAATTTTTTCTCCCAACGTTGCGCTAGGTCTTATTTTCAGGGGATGTCTTTTTTTTTTTTAAATATATTTTATTGATTTTTGTACAGAGTGGAAGGGAGAGAGATAGAGAGTTCAAAACATCAATTAGAGGGAGTCATTGATCAGCTGCCTCTTGCACACCCCCTACTGGGGATGTGCCCGCAACCAAGGTACATGCCCTTGACCGGAATCGAACCCGGGGCCCTTCAGTCCCCAAGCCAACGCTCTATCCATTGAGCCAAACTGGTCCCGGCGATTCAGGGAATGTCTTATCTTTCCACACGCTAGGCCTTATTTTCAGAGGATGTCTTATTTTCGGGGAAGCACGTCATGTGCTGAGCATGGCCTCCGCTCTTCCACCTGGACGGTGACCCTCATGCAGGTTCTGGCCACCCGCCCATGTTATGGATGGGGAGGCAGGGCACCGGAGGGAAAGCAGCCTGTTCGGGTCACGTAGGTAGGGATGCAAATCTGCACAGGGCGGGGCTCCGGCCCAGGCAGGCTGCCCCTGACCAGCCCCCGGGGGTCTGGGGGAGGAGGAGGGGGAGGACAGCGCAGGAGCGAGCTCTGTAGGCCTGGAAGCTCGCCCATCACTGAGTGACTCTGTCACAAACCCAGGGAAAGGAGAGGGAGAGACAGAACGGCGTCCAGAGCTGGATGTTGAGTGAGCCTGAATGTGTGGGCTGAGGTGCATACATGAAATAAGATAGAATGTGCTCAGGCATCTCACAGAGTGCCTGGCATACAGTGGAGGGCCAAGAAGTGGCAGCCGATGTTAATATTCTTTTTTCTTTTCTTTTTTTTTTTTTAACCTATCTGCCTGCCTGGTTGCCCCTAACTGCCCTCCCCGGCCGGCCTGGTCGCCCCTAGTCGCCTCTCCCTTGGCCCCCACCGCCATGGCTTTTTGCAGAAGGTTGTCCAGAAAGATGTCCAGTCTAATTAGCATATTGCCCTTTTATTGGTATAGATATGATTATTGGTTTCAGAGAGGAAGGGAGAGGGAGAGAGAGAAACATCCATGATGAGAGAGAAGTACTGATCTGCTGCCTCCTGCACACCCCCTCATGGGGATCAAGCTTGCAAGCAGCTGAAACCGGTTTGGCTCAATGGATAGAGTGTCGGCTTGGGGACTGAAGGATCCCGGGTTCGATTCCCGTCAAGGGCATGTACCTCGGTTGCGGGCACATCCCCAGTAGGAGGTGTGCAAGAGGCAGCTGATCGATGATTCTCTCTCATCGATGTTTCTAACTCTCTATCCCTCTCCCTTCCTCTCTGTGAAAAATCAATAAAAATATATTTCTTAAGAAAATAAAAAATAAATAAAATAAAGAGCCAGGACCATGTGGCACGCCGGACTGGAGCCTGGAGCAGGGAAAATGCATTCGCTCTGCAGGGCGTCATTTGGACAATTGATTGAGTCTGGGTGTGGCCTGCGACGAGGCCACTGCACTGCATCGGGGTCAGAGCTCCCCATGCAGGTGACCGGGCTGCGCTCACCAGCTAGCCCCGTGGTCGGCAAACCTCGGCTCAAGAGCCACATGCGGCCCTTTGGCCCCTTCAGCGTGGCTCTTCCACAAAATACCACCACATACCGGAGTGCACGTACAGTGCGACTGAAACTTCGTGGCCCATGGGCATAAGTCAGCTTCCGGGTCTCAAATTTCAAATTTGTTCTGTGGCTATTGGGCTCTGTTGACTAATGAGTTTGCCAACCGCGGGACTAGTAGGTAAGTGTCCCTCTTCTTGAGAAGTAGAGACGTTGACTCTCCAATAGTTGG